CGAAAGAACTTTGTAACACAGCATCAACATGGGTCCAGGGATGGCAGGTCCTGCCTCACAGGGTTACTTGAATTCTACGACCAGGCAACAAAAATAAGGCAAGAAAGAGAAGGATGGGCAGACTGCATATTTTTGGATTGTCAGAAAGCCTTTGATACAGTGCCACACAAGAGGCTAGTGAAAAAGCTGGAGATGCAGGCTGGAATGAAAGGGAAGGTACTCCATTGGATAAGGGAACAACAGGAGACAACGAGTCAGTGTGAGGGGTGAGGTCTCAGATTGGCGAGACGTTAGGAGTGGAGTTCCGCTGGGGTCAGTCCTTGGACCTATACTGTTTCTGATATATGTAAATGATCTCCCAGAGGGTATAGAATTGTTTCTCTCAATGTTTGCCGATGATGCAAAAATTATGAGGAGGATTGAAACTGAGGATGATAGTAGGAGGCTACAAGATGACCTAGACAGACTGAGTGAATGGTCCAACAAATGGCTGTTGAAGTTCAACCCGAGTAAATGCAAAGTAATGAAACTAGGCAGTGGAAACAGGAGACCAGACACAGTATACAGAATAGGAGATGAAGTACTTAATGAAACAGAGAAAGATCTAGGAGTTGATATTACACCAAACCTGTCTCCTGAAGCCCACATAAAAAGAATAACGTCTGCGGCATATGCGAGGCTGGCTAACATCAGAACAGCGTTCAGGAACCTGTGTAAGGAATCATTCAAAATCTTGTACACCACATATGTAAGACCGATCCTGGAGTATGCGGCCCCAGCATGGAGCCCGTATCTTGTCAAGCACAAGACGAAGCTGGAAAGAGTCCAAAGGTATGCCACTAGACTAGTCCCAGAACTAAGAGGCATGAGTTACGAGGAAAGGCTGCGGGAAATGCACCTTACGACACTGGAAGACAGAAGAGTAAGGGGAGACATGATCACAACCTACAAAATCCTCAGAGGAATCGACCGGGTAAACAAGGATAAACTATTCAACACTGGTGGGACGCGAACAAGGGGACACAGGTGGAAACTGAGTACCCACATAAGCCACAGAGACGTTAGAAGGAACTTTTTCAGTGTCAGAGTAGTTAACGGATGGAATGCATTAGGCAGTGATGTGGTGGAGGCTGACTCCATACACAGTTTTAAATGTAGATATGATAGAGCCCAGTAGGCTCAGGAACCTGTACATCAGTTGATTGACAGTTGAGAGGCGGGACCAAAGAGCCAGAGCTCAACCCCCGCAAACACAAATAGGTGAGTACACACACACACACTGACACACATCACTGTGTGTGTAGCCTGGAGGGGCATGGTAGCCTAGTGGATAGCGTGCAGGACTCGTAATTCTGTGGCGCGGGTTCGATTCCCGCACCAGGCAGAAACAAATGGGCAAAGTTTCTTTCACCCTGAATGCCCCTGTTACCTAGCAGTAAATAGGTACCTGGGAGTTAGTCAGCTGTCACGGGGTGCTTCCTGGGGTGTGTGTGTGTGTGGGGGGGGGGGAAGTAGTTAGTAAACAGTTGAGAGGCGGGCCGAAAGAGCAAAGCTCAACCCCCGCAAGGACAACTAGGTGAGTACAGACACACACACATACACATACACATACACACACACACACACACACACACACACACACACACACACACACACACACACACACACACACACACACACACACACACACACACACACACACACACACACACACATGGATTCAGGGAGGGTAAATCTTGCCTTACAGGCTTGATAGAATTCTACGATCAGGTGACACAGATTAAGCAAGAAAGAGAGGGCTGGGCGGACTGCATTTTCTTGGATTGTCGGAAAGCCTTTGACACAGTACCGCATAAGAGGCTGGTACATAAGCTGGAGAGACAGGCAGGTGTAGCTGGTAAGGTGCTCCAGTGGATAAGGGAGTATCTAAGCAATAGGAAGCAGAGAGTTACGGTGAGGGGTGAGACCTCCGATTGGCGTGAAGTCACCAGTGGAGTCCCACAGGGCTCTGTACTCGGTCCTATCTTGTTTCTGATATATGTAAATGATCTCCCGGAGGGTATCGATTCATTTCTCTCAATGTTTGCGGACGATGCTAAAATTATGAGAAGGATTAAAACAGAAGAGGACTGTTTGAGGCTTCAAGAAGACCTAGACAAGCTGAAGGAATGGTCGAACAAATGGTTGTTAGAGTTTAACCCAACCAAATGTAATGTAATGAAGATAGGTGTAGGGAGCAGGAGGCCAGATACAAGGTATCATCTGGGAGAGGAAATTCTTCAGGAGTCAGAGAAGGAAAAAGACTTGGGGGTTGATATCACGCCAGACCTGTCTCCTGCAGCACATATCAAGCGGATAACATCAGCGGCATATGCCAGGCTGGCCAACATACGAACGGCATTCAGAAACTTGTGTAAAGAATCATTCAGAACTTTGTATACCACATATGTCAGGCCAATCCTGGAGTATGCAGCCCCAGCATGGAGTCCATATCTAGTCAAGGATAAGACTAAACTGGAAAAGGTTCAAAGGTTTGCCACCAGACTAGTACCCGAGCTGAGAGGTATGAGCTACGAGGAGAGACTACGGGAATTAAACCTCACTTCGCTGGAAGACAGAAGAGTTAGGGGGGGACATGATCACCACATTCAAGATTCTGAAGGGGATTGATAGGGTAGATAAAGACAGTCTATTTAACACAAGGGGAACACGCACAAGGGGACACAGGTGGAAACTGAGTGCCCAAATGAGCCACAGAGATATTAGAAAGAACTTTTTTAGTGTCAGAGTGGTTGACAAATGGAATGCATTAGGGGGTGATGTGGTGGAGGCTGACTCCATACACAGTTTCAAGTGTAGATATGACAGAGCCCGATAGGCTCAGGAATCTGTACACCTGTTGATTGACGGTTGAGAGGCGGGACCAAAGAGCCAGAGCTCAACCCCCGCAAACACAACTAGGTGAGTACAACTAGGTGAGTACACACACACACACACATCTTGGGGTGGTTCTAGATAGAAAACTATCACCTGAGGACCACATAAAGAATATTGTGCGAGGAGCCTATGCCACGCTTTCTAACTTCAGAATTGTTTTTAAATACATGGATGGCAATATACTAAAAAAATTGTTCATGACTTTTGTTAGGCCAAAGCTAGAATATGCAGCTGTTGTGTGGTGCCCATATCTTAAGAAGCACATCAACAAACTGAAAAAGGTGCAAAGACACGCTACTAAGTGGCTCCCAGAACTGAAGGGCAAGAGCTACGAGGAGAGGTTAGAGGCATTAAATATGCCAAAACTAGAAGACAGAAGAAAAAGAGGTGATATGATCACTACATACAAAATAGTATCAGGAATTGATAAAATCGATAGGGAAGATTTCCTGAGACCTGGAACGTTAAGAACAAGAGGTCATAGATTTAAACTAGCTAAACACAGATGCCGAAGAAATATAAGAAAATTCACTTTCGCAAACAGAGTGGTAGACGGTTGGAACAAGTTAGGTGAGAAGGTGGTGGAGGCCAAGACCGTCAGTAGTTTCAAAGCGTTATATGACAAAGAGTGCTGGGAAGACGGGACACCACGAGCGTAGCTCTCATCCTGTAACTACTCTTAGGTAATTACACTTAGGTAATTACACACACACGGACCAGCTCACGCGTCATTCTAGCGAGTAATTCAAAACAATAAAACAATACATTGAAATATTAAATATAAGCATAATACACATATGCACCTGCAAGTGTATAACACTATAGTGATTACAATACTAGATATATAAGTAAATGATGGCATGTACAATTATTCAATTCAAGTTCAAGTATGTTTATTGAGACAAGAAAGAAATACATCTCAAAGGGATAGAGTAGCTTAGGCTATTTCTACCCCTCTATTATTCAATATAGTTATGTGAGAGTGTATCCAGTCACAAGATGTACACCTTGGGGTCATAAGATGGCTCCTGGTTGGTGGTCTGGTCCACCTGGTAGGTAGATGCTTGCTGTCTGACCTATCAATCGCAGCCCCGTTCATCTGGTATCATTTGAAGGTGTTTTCTCTCTTGAACACTGTGGAGGTCGCATAGCTATGTCTTTGATGTTTAGAGGAAAGGTGTTGACAAGTCTTAGGGTCCTTAATGTTGATAGACTTGTCTCTCAGCGTACGTGTTGCACCTCTACGTTTCATCGGGGCTCTTGTGCACTTCCTGCCATGCCTCCTGGACTCATGTGGAGTTATTTTGTGTGTGGAAATTTGGAACCACGCCCTCTAATGTTTTCCATGTGTGAATTATTCGCAGCTTGTGAAATTTTGAACGTTATCAATAAGTTAGATGATTTATTGGGTGGATTCGGCAGTAAAATATCTTTGCAGGTTCTCTAGCCGTGAATGTGGCTCTTACTGTGTGACAATATTCCCCCCTTGAGAGCTCTAGTGTCTTAAAGATCCATCATTGCTGCGACATCAGTGGTGTTACTTCCAAAGGTGTTCGTCATCCAGTTACTTCCAAAGGTGTTCGTCATCCAGCCTGTCATTGTTGGCAGGTGTAACACTTACTGGATTATATTCTTATTATGTCTTCCAATGTGATTATTCCCAGGTCTTTAATCCGTCCCCCTCCCCCCCCACACTGACCACAGTTGTCCCCCCACACTGACCACAGTTGTCCCCCCACACTGACCACAGTTGTCCCCCCACACTGACCACAGTTGTCCCCCCACACTGACCACAGTTGTCCCCCCACACTGACCACAGTTGTCCCCCCACACTGACCACAGTTGTCCCCCCACACTGACCACAGTTGTCCCCCCACACTGACCACAGTTGTCCCCCCACACTGACCACAGTTGTCCCCCCACACTGACCACAGTTGTCCCCCCACACTGACCACAGTTGTCCCCCCACACTGACCACAGTTGTCCCCCCACACTGACCACAGTTGTCCCCCCACACTGACCACAGTTGTCCCCCCACACTGACCACAGTTGTCCCCCCACAGAGTGACGGGAGGGGAGCTGTTTGAAGACATCGTGGCGAGAGAGTTCTACAGCGAGGCGGACGCTTCACATTGTATTCAACAAATATTAGAGAGTGTTAACCATTGTCACCATAATAATATTGTCCACAGAGACCTCAAGGTAAGTTCTTCACGTCCTGTACATGTACACGTCTGCACGTCCTGTACACGCCATGTACACGTCCACATACCCACATGTACACTCCATCACTCGCCCTTATTAATATATATATATATATATATATATATATATATATATATATATATATATATATATATATATATATATATATATATATACATATGTCGTACCTAGTAGCCAGAACGCACTTCTCGGCCTACTATGCAAGGCCCGATTTGCCTAATAAGCCAAGTTTTCCTGAATTAATATATTTTCTCTAATTTGTTTCTTATGAAATGATAAAGCTACCCATTTCATTATGTATGAGGTAATTTTTTTTTAATTGGAGTTAAAATTAACGTAGATATATGACCGAACCTAACCAACCCTACCTAACCTAACCTAACCTATCTTTATAGGTTAGGTTAGGTTAGGTAGCAAAAAAAGTTAGGTTAGGTTAGGTTAGGTAGGTTAGGTTGCCGAAAAACAATTAATTCATGAAAACTTGGCTTATTAGGCAAATCGGGCCTTGCATAGTAGGCTGAGAAGAGCGTTCTGGCTACTAGGTACGACACACACATATATATATATATATATATATATATATATATATATATATATATATATATATATATATATATATATATATATATATATATATATATATATATATGTCGTACCTAGTAGCCAGAACTCACTTCTCAGCCTACTATTCAAGGCCCGATTTGCCTAATAAGCCAAGTTTTCCTGAAATAATATATTTACTATAATTTTTTTCTTATGAAATGATAAAGCAACCCTTTTCTCTATGTATGAGGTCAATTTTTTTTTATTGGAGTTAAAATTAACGTAGATATATGACCGAACCTAACCAACCCTACCTAACCTAACCTAACCTATATTTACAGGTAAGGTTAGGTTAGGTAGCCAAAAAAAGCTAGGTTAGGTTAGGTTAGGTTGGTTAGGTAGACGAAAAAGCATTAATTCATGAAAACTTGGCTTATTAGGCAAATCGGGCCTTGAATAGTAGGCTGAGAAGTGCGTTCTGGCTATTAGGTACGACATATATATATATATGTCGTACCTAGTAGCCAGAACGCACTTCTCAGCCTACTATGCAAGGCCCGATTTGCCTAATAAGCCAAGTTTTCATGGATTAATTGTTTTTCGACTACTTAACCTACCTAACCTAACCTAACCTACCTTTTTTGGCTACCTAACCTAACCTGACCTCTAAAGATAGGTTAGGTTAGGTTAGGTAGGGTCGGTTAGGTTCGGTCATATATCTACTTTAATTTTAACTCTAATAAAAAAATTGACCTCATACACAATGAAATGGGTAGCTTTATCATTATATAAGAAAAAAATTAAAGAAAATATAATAATTCAGGAAAACTTGGCTTATTAGGCAAATCGGGCCTTGCATAGTAGGCCGAAAAGTGCATTCTGGCTACTAGGTACGACATATATATATATATATATATATATATATATATATATATATATATATATATATGATGTGCAGGGACTTAATATCTAACATATTCAGAGATTTGAGTAGGGGTACCGAGTGATGTCTGGGGCCAGAGTTGGATATTGTCCTAATAGCAGCTTTGTGTTGAGTAATTAGAGGACGTAAATGATTTTGGGTAGTAGAACCCCAAGCACAAATACCATAGCTGAGATATGGATAGATGAGGGAGTAATAGAGCGTCACCAGGGCAGGGCGGGGTACATAATATCTGATCTTAGAAAGAATGCCAACAGTTTTTAATACTTTTTTTTTATATATTTAGAATGTGTCCCTGGAAATTCAGCTTGTGGTCAATGAGAACGCCAAGGAATTTGCCATCTATTTTGTTACAAATTTGGGTATTGTTTATCCTGAGATCTATTTGATTTGAGGATTTATTGCCAAACAGAATATAGAAAGTTTTGTCAATGTTGAGGGTGAGTTTGTTGGCAGTTAGCCAAAGATGGATTTTATTTAGCTCAGTATTCACTGTGACATTTAGAGCAAGGGGGTCAGGACTGGAGTAAATGAAGGTTGTGTCGTCAGCAAATAGAATTGGTTTGAGGTGTTGGGATGCATTTGGATACAAAGGGTTGGTGAGATTACTTAGGATTGGTATTTTTACATTCATGCAAAGCCGCTAACACACATAACGTTTTGGGCAGAAACGGCAGAAAAGCAAAGATTCTTAATATTGCAACCCGTCCTGAGACTCCATCTTCATACCCCAGCTCCTTGTCCTCATTCCCACCGCTATATAGTTATACGTAATTATTGCTTTCTCCTCATTACCTTACTAGTCTGGGGGCCTCTGGTCGGTGGCCCCCCCCCCTGAGCCTACATATGGCTACTATACGTTAACTCAGAACTTTTTCAGTACAGGGTATTTGATAACTGTACTTGAATAATTAGTAATGACAAGCTCTATAAACATGTTCTAACCAATATACATAAGTTCTTCTATCATCTACACTGTGTATATCATTATATTATATATATTCTATATCTACGAGAGAATATATGCCTTCTGTTCAGGGTTCGAGACCAGATGCCCGGGACTGGTTTCACCCAACTTTCACTTATGAAACATGTAAGGTAGGGGAGTGCCATAGGCCTGTTGGGGTAGGTTCCAGTACCATACTTTAAGGAATATTGGCATCTGACCTCCCAACCATACTATTTTCTTGAAGTCATATCTGAAACTTTGAATGTATTGTCCATAGAGTTAGTCAGTTTAGTGTATCGTTATATAATTTTTCCAGCCATCCTCCTAAAATGAAAGCACTTATAGTAACTATTTGGTCGAAAGTACCACTGTTCTCACCTAGTTGTGTTTGCGGGGGTTGAGCTCTGGCTCTTCTAAGAAGCTCTGGCTTCTTAAACCTATACTACTTGCTGATGATACTACCCTCATCTACTCAGACCCCCAACCCACACACACAAAATAATAGTGTTAACGATGAATTTTAAAAAGTCCACTCGTGGATGTTAACAAACAAACTCACACTAAACACAGAAAAGCCTGACTACATTTTATTTGGAAGTAAATCATCAAATCGAATTCAGCTTCAGATAGACAATGTTAACATCAGCAATAAAAATGATGGAAAGTTCCTTGGCCTATACTTAGACAAGAGACTCAACTCCAGTACCTACATACAACACATAACGAAGAAAGTCTCTAAAACAGTTGGTACACTCTCTAAAATGTTAGCATCCTGGGGGACTGGGGTGCGGGGTGATGGAGCTGCCTCAGGATGGGTTGAATATGAGTGTCTGGTAGCCACCGTCGACCGTGTTTAGTCCATCACTACCTAGTTTCCTGTTTACTAGTTCCTTCTAAATAGGAACATGACAAGAAAGACCTCTCAACAAAGGTTGTAATCATGACAAGTACATATACAAGTACTGTACATTTACAAGTAGTGCAACAAATAAAGGGATTATTAATACGGTACCAGATATATATCAGCACAAATAGAACTCGAAATTATGTATTCAAATTAGATAAGTTAGATGCAGAAAAACAACTAAGAAAGAGGGGGTTTGGAAATAGTGTTGTGGAGTTATTGAATATGTTGAAAGGTAACATACTAGAGGTTTAGTTGCTGGATTATTTCAGCAATACGTTGAAATAATATAGCTTAGACATGGAGGAGTAGATGTGGATGAATACAAGCTGTCTTCCATGAACCATTACGCCTTCTACAGCTTCACGTTTCTATGTTCATATATTACTGTGATTTCAGTATGAGTAAATATGAGTCAATAATGCTGTTGTTGATGAAACTAATGTGCACCTTCCCCCCGGCAGCCAGAAAACTTATTGCTGGCCAGCAAGGCCAAGGGCGCCGCGGTCAAGCTGGCTGACTTTGGTCTGGCCATCGAGGTGCAGGGTGACCAACAGGCCTGGTTTGGTAAGTACCTGGTACCTCTCTCCCCACCCCATGGATGATAGTACCTGGTAACTCTCCCCACCCATGGATGATAGTACCCGATAACTCTCCCCATCCATGGATGATAGTACCCGATAACTCTCCCCACCCATGGATGATAGTACCCGATAACTCTCCCCACCCATGGATGATAGTACCTGGTAACTCTCCCCATCCATGGATGATAGTACCCGATAACTCTCCCCACCATGGATGATAGTACTGTACCTGGTAACTCTCCCCACCATGGATGATAGTACTGTACCTGGTAACTCTCCCCACCCATGGATGATAGTACCTGGTAACTCTCCCCACCCCCCATGGATGATAGTACCTGGTAACTCTCCCCACCCCCCATGGATGATAGTACCTGGTAACTCCCCCCCCCCCTCCCCCATGGACAATAGCAGCTGGTAACTCTCTCCATACCCTGATGTTGTATACACAGTCTATGTACAGGCATTTGGTAAATGTAACCATGTAGTGAAGAGCCGATGAAATGAAAGTCCAAAGGAGTAACAGACAAAGCGGAATGATGGATATTCACTTTTCTGACAAGAGATTGCAACAAGTAACAATTACCCCCCCAAACATCTAGACTGAACCAATGACAATGATCTTGCACCAATACAACTTTTTATCCCTATAAATTACTCATAAATAATAAAAAATGTTTATTAAGACGACTTATCATTTATTAAGACATGTAAAGAATCTAGGAATAACAGTGTCAGATTACCTAATATTTACCTGACATTACCCGAATGTTTGGTGAGCATGACGAAGCAAGTATAGCATCCACAAAGAAAATGATTGGCTGGATTATGAGAACCTTCATCTCAAGTGATGAAAATGCATCATTTAAATGTTTTAAGTAATAATATTCTTGTTTATGGAATGCATCCTATTTTTTCATTAAGATTGATTGATACTTATTAATAAATGTACAGCTATTTTCTACATTTATGACTTCTCATCATTTGCAAAACTATCTGCATTGAGATTTCATGTAAGGGGCTCCAGAAATGTGTTCCGTCACATATCTGGAATCCAACTTAATAATCACAGTATTTTTACTGTAATAAAATTTTTTGTAATATCTAAAATTTACAACAGTTATAGTACTGATTAAATAAATGGTACTTTTTAATTAATTTACAGAGTATGAATGAGTATAATTTGAATGATAATTATTGGAGTATAAATAATTGTTTTGGCTGGAGTGGTGTGTGTGCGTACTAAACAAATTGTAGATTATTGTATTCTCTTAACTTTCTGGTGGACTGTCACCAATATTTCACTATATAATGCTGCCCTATTGCTGGGAACATTTTGTACATGTGTGGTACTGTTTATATGTGAGATTTTGAAGTTTAGGGTGTAATTTTTTTTTTTTTTTTAATTTAAGGTGTTCTTGGACATATGTGTCCAAGATACATAGTTTTTGGACACATATCTGGTTATCATTATTGCTATTATTATTACTTTATTACCTCCAAATAAACTTTTTAAATATTTTAGTAACTGGCACTCTATAAGCTACTCTAAATACTCCTTAAGTTGCTGCTATTTTCTTCCACAGGATTTGCAGGCACGCCGGGTTACTTATCACCAGAAGTTCTCAAGAAAGAGCCGTATGGAAAGCCAGTAGACATTTGGGCGTGTGGTGAGTCTCGTGTAATGCTAAATCTGCAAAGATTTGATAATGCTCTTACAGATAAAATGTTATTTACAATTTAAGTCTACTCTCATCTTGATATTTGTATTTGTTACAGACTATAGGGAAGTCTGTAACAGACTAAATCAGCGTAGGCTTTAGATAAATTGTGGAGTAAAAGCTACGGGTCTGAAGACTTTATGGCAACTGCACTTAGTGGACACTAACATCAGTTCTGTAAGACCTACTGACTGCTAAACTACTGTACAAATTACTACTGCAGTCGAAATTACAATAACTACTGTACTACAGAAGTAATTACTGTAATTACCATAGTAATGAATTACAATAACTACTACAGAAGTAATTACTGTAATTACTACAGTAATAATTACAATTACTACAGTGGTAATTACAATAACTGGTGCATTAACTACTGATATTGCAATGGTAATTACCTACAATAATACAGTGATCATTTACCTAACTAATGCAGGGGTAATTAAGCTAACATATGTAGTGATTTCCAACATAATTATTCTAGTGGTAATTCAGAAAACTATTGCAGTTTTCATTAAGATAGCTATGATGATAGATAACTACTGAAGTAGCAATGCAGATAAGTACAGAAAGTGACAATTGCATTAACTACTTCACTGGCAATTTAAGATAACTTCTGCCATGATAAAATAACTGCAGTGGTAAATAAGATATCTTTATTAGCAATTAGTATAAGTACAATATTGCAGTGGCAACTGTGTGAGGCCTATAAAATGCCAGCCAGCCTCCACATCACATATAAATACATGGGCTGTGCAAGCTTGAACCAAATTTGTATTATGTGTAACGGAAATTAGAATACACAGCAGTGGTGTAATTTCCATATTTATACTGTAAAAACCTGTAGTTAAATTAGTACAATTTTAAAGACATGTAACAAAATGTATCCTGGAGACAGTTGAGTTATGAAAAGACTTCAGATTTCCTATAGCTTTGATGCATGTGCCAAAACTACAAATTTGTTTTGTGACAACTACTGTTAGTAGTTTGGTTGATCAGTCCGGCAACCAGGAGGCCTGGTCGACGACCGGGCCGCGGGGACGCTAAGCCCCGGAAGCACCTCAAGGTAACCTCAAGGTAAGGTAGTTTTAAGTTAAATTTGATATCAATTATAAAGAAGACGGATCATTATTAGTATGGCTCTTTGTCTGCAACTACAATCAGGTAATTACTCTATACTGAGTTACTATATTATCAGTATCTTAGACACTAAAACTGAATATTTTAGTGATACCATTACAGTATAACTATAAATTATATCAGTTGCAAACATTTGCAAATTTGTTTTTAATATTATATTGGGAGCTTTTACATCAAGAATAATATTGGTGTTTTGGGCTAAGGCTTGTTGGATTGATAGCTAACCTTTGTGAGCTACTGAGGACCCAACAGAAAATGGCATTTCATTTCTTTCATCACTTGATTTTTTTAGAGTTTAATGAACAACTCTACTTATTGCCAAGTGTGTGTGTATGTGTGATTAATGTGTTGGTACTTGGCCAGGTGTGATCCTGTATATACTGCTAGTGGGTTATCCTCCATTCTGGGATGAAGACCAACACAGGCTCTACGCACAGATCAAAGCAGGCGCTTACGATGTAAGTTGCTACAGTTATTATGTATCTGGACTTTTATTGTCTTAAGTTGGAGCCTATAAACATTGATAATTTGTGTACAGTAATAGGATTAAAATATTTTAAAAGGTTTAGAAATGTTCTTTTATCATTTACAAAAGCAGTAAATCAATGTGTCATTTTAAACAAATATTATTTGAACTCTTTGACTGAAAATAAAATACTGTATATGAAAATTCTTACATTTTGACAATTGATTTAATAATTTGTCTATATTTATCAAATAAAAATAGTTTGCTATAATTTTTTGACCACTTAATTTTTTGTTAATTTAGGGGGAAATATATTTGGTGAAGAATATATTATGCTTGTGAAATTCCAAGGGTTGACTATAGTAAGTGTAGTGGGATGAAGATATGAATTAGGATATTAGTAATTTTTGTAATTATTTCCATAAGCCATACCAAGCATGACTGTTAATTCTTACTAATTACGTGTCAACCACCTTAGTTAGCTAGGAGGATTCATTAGAAGTTGGAACCCACTATGTTGAGTACCAGGTCAGCTTCAAGGGACAGAAATGCAGTCCCAGCACGTAACTGCTTTATGTTGTATGGTTAGGATAAGCACCATTGGTATTGGCCATAACCTTGACTGGTAAGCACAATGGTAGATTGCACAATGGTGGGTCACTGTGCTGCTTTATCGGGAGCCTTATCCAGCTCGGCACTGATTTGACTGGAAAATAAACACTGGGGTCTCCCAGTTATGTCAACAACTAGAGATGGTACACCCCTATGCACAGTATAGGGGGGTATAGTACAGTATAGTACTGTGTATTTACCTGAATTTACCTGAGGGGTCACTAATACTATAGTATTAGTAGCCTCGACGAGGACAAGAAGCCGGCAGCTTGTCAAAGGTCCCCCCATCTGTCCTGATGATCTTTTCTAGCTGTATTTTAAAACCCAGTAGAGTTTTGGCATTTAGGGCTTTGGCGGGTAGGCAGGTCCACGGGTTTACAACCCTATGGGTGAAAAAGTATCTCCTGTTTTCAGTCCTACATTGTGGCTTGTTGATCTTGAACCCGTTGCTCCTCGTTCGTTTTACATCTGACCTTTTCAAGAAATTGTCCGGATCAACATCCTCCAAGTACATATTTTAAAGGTTTCGATGAGATCCACCCTGTCATGCCTAGTCTGCAGTGTTGTTAGCCCTGTGGCCCTCAACCGTTCCTGATATGAGAGATGATTAAGCTCTTGTATGATTCATTGTGAGAAGAGAATATGCATCACTTTCCAACTTCAGACTTGCTTTTAATAACATGGATGGTGAAATACTAAAGAAACTGGTCACGACTTTTGTGAGTCCGAAATTGGAATATACAGCAGTTGTATGGTGCCCAAATCTCAAGAAGCTCATAAATAAACTGGAAAAGGTGCAAAGGCATGCTACAAAATGGCTTCCAGAACTGAAAAACTGAGTTATGAGGAGAGACTTGAGGCGTTCAACATGCCAAAACTAGAATATATAAGAAAAAGAGGTGATATGATCACCACTCACAAAATACTAACAGGAATCGACCAAATTGACAAAGTGGAATTCCTGAAGTCAGCAACTTCAAGAACAAGAAGACACAGATTCAAGCTAAGGAAACAAAGATGCTAAAAAAATATTATAAAGTTTTGTTTTGCAAACAGAGTGGTAGATGGTTGGAACAAGCTAAGTAAGAAGGTGGTGGAGGCCAAAACCATCAGTAGTTTTAAAGTGCAGTACCCAAGTATCCAAGTCAAGTACGGGGAAGTACTGGCCCAGTACCCAAGTCAAATATGTTGCAAGTCCCTGTGGTGTAGTGGTAAGACCCCTCGCCTGGCATTTAGCGAGCGCCTTGTCCTGGGTTCGTATCCTGGCTGGGGAGGATTTACTGGGCATCAATTCTTAACTGTAGCCTCTGTTTATCCAGCAGTAAAATGGGTACCTGGTTGTTAAAGGATTTGGCCGAATTATATTCAGGGGAACATAGGATTAAGGACTTGCCCGAAACACAACACATGCTAGTGGCTGTACAAGAATGTAAGAACTCTTGTATATATAAATTTAAAAAGTACTGGGAAAATGAGATACCACGAATATAGCTCTCATGCTGTAACTTCACTTAGGTAATTACTTGGGTAATTACATTTCTATTAAATTTACAAAATGCAACAATAAGCTGGGGAGTGGGAAAAGCTGCTGTGGTATGTGCATTTATAACAGCTTAACATCTCTCATTCTGTTGCAGAGCTTAATTAGGTAAGTATACTGATGAATCTTGACTTTCACTGTCAAGTTAAACTTATGTAAAAGATTTTAACTTGAATTATTCATGAACAAAACAGTTTTCTCAGAATTTCTTATAATTTTCTTTGTCACCAAAACCACGATATACTTCCCCACTCCAGCCATTTATTCAACCAATACAGTCTCTACAAAATTTTATGTGTAACAAAATCATGAACACAAAACCACAATCAATGCAGTTGTCTTTTCATGCTACTGTATCATTCATTTTCTTCACTTTTTTGTCTTTGTTTCAATTTGTTCTATTCAGTTTCCCAGAAACTCTTTTCACACCAGAAGTTTATATAAAATAAATAATTGTCTTCAGTATCCATCACCTGAGTGGGACACTGTAACTCCTGAAGCCAAAAACCTCATCAATTCCATGTTGACCGTTAATCCTGCCAAACGCATCACCGCGGCTGAAGCTCTTAAACATCCATGGATCTGTGTACGTTGTTTATATTGTCTTCGACATTTCTCACTCAACTTTTATTTTGGAACTTATTTAGTGTTTCAAAATATTTAAAAGGAATGCACATATCTCATAAAATAATAATTTAAACATATACATTTTATAATATTATACCTTTTGTAATATTTACCAAATATTATAAGTTTATTTTGATTTTTGCAATTATCAGTTTAAATTTTCATGCTGTTAAAAAATATAAATTACTAACAAGTTCACTATTACGTTTACTGAAAAATTACTTAACCCTTTCGTTGCGGCTCCTTTTGTTCCCACTGAGGGCAGAATACCAGATAAAATACAAGTTTTTTGCTTTTACTTTATCTGAGTTTATCTGAGAGCCACTAACACTAGGGGATTCAACAAGGACAGGAAGCCGGTGGCTTGTCGAAGATCTTCTAATTTGCCTTGATGATCATGGGTGACCCATGCTTATTACACCTGAGTAATCTTTATATGAATTGGTTATTGATCCATGCTTCTAACTTTACGTCTTACTCCTCACCTAATTGTATGTACAGTATAGGTTATTGAACTAAGCCTCTTACCTTGTACACCTCACCTAATTGTATGTACAGTATAGGTTATTGAACTAAGCCTCTTACCTTGTACACCTCACCTAATTGTATGTACCTGACCTCCCAGACTTCTGCAGCTATAGGGTTCAAACTTTTGTTTTTAACTTCCGGCACATTTGAGTAACTATGATAGGATGATTATTGTACCTTTTTTATGGGCACCTGGACTTGGGTCTTTTTTTTTTTGTAACACCAGGCACAAGCCTACCGGGCGACCACGGACACTTGCCACATCGAAAGGGTTAAAAAGTTTTATACTTTGAAGATTTACATATCTTAATGTATAATTTTATATCCTTCAAAGAGATGTTCAACTAAACATCATGATACAGATATAAAATGAATTAAAGATAATTTTTTTTGTAGTTGAAATATAAATTGTTTGCTGTATCATGATTATAATGCTAGCCTTGATTTTTAAAGAGTACTATTAGTATTCCTTTATTATACTGAAGTGTGTGTTTTGTTGATGACTTATATAAAGTAGTTTTAAAATACCTACACCAACTTTTCCATGTTGACAGCAACGTGAGCGTGTGGCTAGTGTAGTACACAGGCAAGAGACTGTTGACTGTTTGAGAAAGTTCAATGCCAGAAGAAAATTAAAGGTAAGTTTAATAAGCCTTGTAATTTTACATACAAGTCACTTAACTTTATTTAATTATTGTCTAAAATTCACTAATGTCTAATTTTACTTGGATTAATCTTGCAGCTTTACCTCCATACATCAACAGTAAACACTTAATTAAATTTGCATCATGTACATTATATGTATACCTGAATATGTGAGTTTAAGAGTAGGAGGAGAAGAAAGCCAGAATTTTACATGCTAGACAAATTTTTAAATTGAGCATGGGAGAAAATGTGAAGTATACATATTGACAACACATGAGAGATAAACAATGCTGAGTGCACGCAGTAGACATTCAGAATACTATAAGTTTCATGTTGCACCTAATAGCCAGAACACAATGCACTACTGGGCATAGTAAGCAAGGTCTGTTTCCTCATAGTAGCCAGAGTGATTTTGCATACTGTACTTTCAAATATTTCTCTCAAAGATAGATTTTTGAAAATTTAATAGTTAGAAAATATGGCCTATTAGAAAACTGGTTATTAGGTACAATATATATATAAGTTGTACCTAATAGGCCAAATTTCCTAACAAGCATAATTTCTCTGAAATATTATATTTTTGCAATTTTTGCTTATGGAATGATTAAGCTTTCCATTACATTATATATGATTTGAATCTTTTTTTTATTTGAGTTAAAAGTAACATAAAAATTTGATCAAACCTCACCTAACCTATTCAGACAATGAGTCACAATAACATGACTGAAGATATGATGACCAAACCACACATCAAAAGATGAAGAAACAAAGATGTTAAGGATAGTCCTGGACAACCAAGACAAAGATGTCCTGGACCATTATCAAGTTATGTAATTACATGACTTGATAATGGTCTAGCACGGACTGAATCATTGTTGTTTCTTCATTTTCTGATGTGTGGTTTGGTCATTCTAACCTAACATAACTAAATCATTAATTCATGTTCTTTATATAATATAATAATATTTATTGAAATAATCTAATTTGGATAGAAATATTTGAGAATAACGACAATCACTCAGCATGTTGGGAAAATCGGACATTGTATACTATACAGAGGAATCTTGGGTGACGAGCAGCCCCATCTACGAGAATTTCAGGTAACAAGCGAGCCACTCGCAGAAAATTTGTCTCGAATGATGAGCTTCCACTTGGCTAACTAGAAAACCACGTGGTACTTCCTAATGTTCCCTCTGGTTCTCGGACACCTCTGATGATAGTGTTGCTGTTTCGCAAGACAAACATTTCACATGGCGAGCTCGGTGCCAGAATGGATTAAATTCGTTAACCGAGGTTCCTCTGTGTGTGTGAGTGTAATTACTTAAGTATGTGTGTGTGTGTGTGTGTTTGAGTGTTACAAAGAACAAAGAAATTAACATGTGAGGAACAGTGTGACAATGTCAGACCACGAAAGAAGGATTTAGACAGAAATTTCCTTAAGAACTTTCGTATTTAATAATACATCTTCAGAAGGATGGATTTACAGTTCAGAGGGTGTGGATATATAGACAGGAAAGAGGTGAGGTGAGATACAATATCTTTAATGGGATATTAACCACTGCACTGTGCCAAGCACCTTAAGGCGCTCTGAGGGTTGTGTGATTTTGTTTTTAATTAGACCATATTTTAAGGTTTTAATGTTTTCATCGCTCTTTGTGATTTGAAATGAAAATGATTGAGTTTGGAAACATTTTGACGTTAACATTAGCTGAACATTTATAAAAACAACAAAATATGTCCTTAACAACTGCATCATGAATTTTGGCCAAAAACAGGTGCACAGTGCAGGGGTTAATAAGGTATTTGTGAGATAAATGTGTATCGATGATCCTGCTCAAATCCCCCTTTAACTGATCGATCAAAAATGGATCTGAATTATACAAACCACTGCTAATGTTCAAATTACATGATTTTGTAATCTGTATTAAAGCAGATTCAATAATGTTCCTATTGAAAATGTTCTTACAATACATTTTTTAAGAAGACCTCTCCCAGTCAATTTGGTAAGAACTATCTGATAAATGAACAAACAAAGTATTAGACAATTGGCCATGTCTTACAGAGTATTTATGTTGCAAAATTCTAAATTTAGAATTTAAGAGGCGATATGATCACCATGTACAAAATAGTTCCCGAAATCGATAGAATTAATAGGGAAGAATTCCTGAGACCTGAAACTTCAAGAACAAGAGGTCATATATTTAAACTAACTAAACAAAGCTACCGAAGAAATATAAGAAAATTGACTTTTGCAAACAGAGTGGTAGACGGTTGGAACAAACTGTGAGAAAGTGGGGGAGGCCAAAACCATTAGTAATTTTAAAGTGTTGTATGACAAAGTGTGCTGGGAAGACGGGACACCACGAGCATAGCTCTCATCCTGTAAATACACTTAGGTAATTATTTGAAGCATATACCAAAGAGGCACATTTATAAACAAGTAGATGGTGTTACCATTGGTTTCCCCTTTGGTGTTCTATTTGTAAATTTTTACATTGGCACTATTGAGCAGAAAGTCTTTGTTAACATGGACTTAAAACCAGTTGTCTACTACAGTATATGTATGTTGATAACATATTCCTGCAGGTACCTGACATTGAGCACTTGCTACAGATCAAGGATACATTCGACTAAAGTTCTATGCTAATTTTCACTTATGATATGGAGAGTGATGGTAAACTGCCTTTCCTAGATATAACAGCCTCATAATGGAATGGATACGCTAATAGATATGCCAGAGGCATCATTCAATGGAAGGTGAACCACCATGCTACCTCAGATGGAATGGTCTACATTGTAATATCTGTCCCACCTATTAAACTATAGGAACTTCTTTTTCACATCTCACAAAATGGAAGAGAGAGCCCTGAAAAACAAATTGTAATATCATAAAAACAAACTACATTGTAATATCTGTCCCACCTATTAAACTATAGGAACTTCTTTTCCACATCTCACAAAATGGAAGAAAGAGCCCTGAAAAACATTATTAATTTAATAGAAACATGACCCCGACTGATACCTACCAGAAGATAGAGTTGACACTACTACAAGGGCAAGAAAACCACCAACCCTGCTCATGAAAAACTCTTCTGACACCAAACAAAATGTCATAAAAAATACACGAATGTTGTCTACACCTTGGGAACTGCCAGCCCCGATGATCTCAGTATATAAGCAAGACTGTAACATCTCTTTCAAGATACCTGACAATACACTAACAGTAAGTTTCCCTCAAAGAAAATATAATTTTTACACAACCAGGTCCTTTATCTTCCCTAAGCTTCTAGGGAAGATTAGCGACTTGGACAATTGTCATGCCCTTTAAGATGATATGAACAAAATAAGTGTTAGGAGAAACTTTTGACAAATAGAATTCAGTGTGAATAAATACCAAGTTATGAAATGTGGAATATGAGAAAATAGACCACACAGCACCTACAAATCATATGGAAAGGCTTTAAGAACTCTGACAAAGAGAGCTACGGGTGGTTCTGGATAGTAGACTGTCACCAGAGAACCACATAATGTTCAATGTTCCAGGAGTATTTTCTTTGCTTTCCAACTTCAAAATCACTTTTAAATACACAGATTGTGAAATATTGAAGAAAATGTTCATGATTTTTATGAGACCAAAATTAGAATATGCAGTAGTTGTATGGTGCCCAAATCTCAAGAAACATCAATAAACATAGTGCACAGTTACAAACCCATTAAGATTTCAACTTAGATTCAACAGAACAGAAGTTGTTAAAATACACGGGACAAAATTTTACTGAAGCGACATTCGAGACATAAACACTCATACTACGCCCAAGTAAAACAGAAACAAGCAATACTTAGTGGGCCAGCCAGAGGCTTAGGGCCCACACAGGAATATCCCTGCAAAAAAAAAAAAATCAATAAATGTGAAAAGGTGCAAAGTTATACTACAAAATGGCTTCCAGAACCAAAAAACAAGAGGCAGTGGATGCCAAAACTGTCAGTAATTTCAAAGTATCATTTGACAAAGAGTACTGGCAAGATGGGATGCCATGAACATAGCTCGCATCCTGTAACTACAATTAGGTAATTACTAGAGATTTCCTATCCAACAACTCTAAAATAATGGACAAATGCAACCACAATAGAAGACCTCAACCAGCTATTAACAACCATCTCACACTCATGTACAGTCTACCATCCTCAAGACTAAAACAAAATATCCATCACAAACTGCTGCAGCCAACATCAACATAAGAACATAGAATTAAATAACTGCAGAAGGCCTGTTAGCCCCATGCACCTTACTTCACCTCTCCCTTCCTGGTTATATGTGGTAGCCCCAGCTAATTTCTATCCACTTCATTTTACCTTGTATGCCTAAATCTACTTTAGGGCCACCTTCTTTTCCTCATTGAGTACAAGAAGCCAGCAGCTTTTCAATAGTCTCCCCATTTTTCCTAAAATTTTTGTCCAGCTGGAATTTGAACTGAGCCAATGTTTTGACATTATAGCTTCGGCTGGTAGGCAGTTCCATGGGTTTATAACCCTATGGGTGAAAAAGCACATCCGATTTTCTGCCATACCAATAGGATCAACAGAATGCATCTCTTAACATCAGGCTATAAAACTGTAACATATACTTTGATAATTTACTTTTTCAACTTTTTCTCAAGTAAAGAAGAATATAAGAAACAGAGAAGAGTCATTTTTCATATAGATTCAGATTCATATCCAATTTCTCATTTCCTCTCTGTATTGTAACACTGAGGCATTGGAAAAGGAGACTGGTTGCTATTTTGCCTCTGGTTTGCCTAATGAGTTCCTCTACCAACTCCTTCAGGAGCCAAGAGACTCCTAAAGTTTATTGGCAGAAACCTGTAACCGACGACTTGATAATGGTCCAGGACGGACCGAAATGTCATTGTCACCTCATCTTCTGGTGTGCGGTTTATTCTTCAAACCTCTAACATTTCCCTAGGCTCCTTCCTCTACCTACTGGTTTTATTGG